GACTTCAACTCCCAGAATTCTCCAGCTGGAGAATTCTGGGAGTTGAAGTCCGCGAGTCTTAAAGTCGCCAAGTTTGGGGACCCCCTGAATTACCGCTTCGTTCAAGTAGTCCTCGACTTACAACCTTTTCTTTGGTGACCGAACTTACGACAGCATTGAAAGAAGTAGCTTAGGACAGTTTTTCACACTTAACGACCATTGCAGCATCCCTGTGGCCACACGATCAGAACTCAAGACAATTAGCAACTGACTCGTATTTATGACGCTCGCCATGTCGCTGTTGTTGTCACGTGATCCGCTTTTGCAACCTTCTGAAGAGCAAAGCCAATGGGGATGCCTGGTTCACTTAACGACCGTGTGACTAACAGCTCCAGTGATTCACTTGTGTTGTGGCAAGGAAAGTTGTAATATTGGGGCAAAACTCAGTTAACAACCATCTTAGCCATGGAAATATTTGGGTTCAATTGTGGTCGTAAGTTGAGGACTGTTTGTATTTTACCTATTAGGCTTCTGTGGTCATCTTTAGGCAACAACATATGACAACCCGCCCTGTGATTGCATTTCACGCATTTGGTTAACTGCCTCACATTTACGACCGGTTGCAGCGTCCCATGGTCACGGGATTTCACTTTGCAACATTTTTTTTTCAGTTTTTCCAGCAAAAAACACCCATTGCATAAAACGCTTTCCTTTATGAGCAGGTGATTCACTTAAGGACTGCGGCGACCCACTTAACAACAGTCATAAAATTGAGTCTGGCAGTCGAAATCCACCCATCGTGGCTGAGAAACACAATTGTGGAGCGCTGGGTAAACCAAGATAATCCACAACCTGCAGTTTAATCTTGGCTTGTAAGGTTGGTAGTCACCGCCACTCTGATCAGCTAACTATGATTATTGGCTTGCCACAATCCTGTGGATTAAGGTCCATCCTCTCTGTAAAGTGGACATCTGTGGATCATTCCCCCCCAAAAAAAGTTAAATCTCAGCTGGGCTCAGATTCCGTGGAAATAGGTTGGGGGAGGTTGAGGGTCCAGCATCTCATAGGAATGTGGGCTCAGCTGTGTGGGCAAGCCCAGCCAGCTATCCGGGAGCTTGTTTGGCTTAACAAACTGGGTTTGTTAAGCCATGTTGTGCTAGGAGTCAACCCGGGTCCAGCATCTGATGACAGTCCCATCTGGGGTCAGCCCTGATCAGGGTCCCCATCATGAGGTTAGCCAAAAGGGCCACCATGGAGAGAGACAAGAGGAAGGTGAGGCAGAGAATGACGTGTGTGTGTGTGTGTGTTTGTGTAAGAGAGAGGGGGGGAATGTGAAGATGAAAGAGGGAGAGAATAAAAGAATGAAAAAGAAAGGGGAAGAAGAAAGAAAGACTAGGAGAGAAAGGGAAGGGAAAAGAAAGAATCAGTGAGTGAGAAAGAATGAGAGAAAGAATGAAAGAAAGAACGGAGAAGAAAGGGAGAGAATAAAAAAAAATGAAAAATAGGGAGAAAGTGAAGGGAAAAGAAAGAGAAAGGAAGAAAGAAAAAGAAAGGAAAGAAAAAGAAAAAAAGAGGATGGAAGAGAAAGAATATGGAGAAGAGAGGGAGAGAATGAAAAAATGAAAAATAGGGAGAGAAAGTGAAGGGAAAAGAAAGAAAGAATGAAAGAAAGAATAGAGAGAAAAGGGAGAGAATAAAAAAATGAAAATGAGAACAGGAGAGAAAATGAGGGAAAAAGAATGGGAGAAAGAGAAAGAAAGAAAGAGAGAGAGAAAAATAGATAGAAAAAGAGAATGAGAGAGAGAAACTTGGGTTGACCAATCGGAAGGACCTATTTGACCAAAAACGGTGTGGATAGGGCACCACCAGGAAATCCAAAATAGCTGTCCCAGAGAAGGAACATGACTGGAGGACCAGTGGTAGTTTTTTTTCCATCCAGCCCTCCCTGATGGTTTGTCCAAATTTTCCTTTTTTCCTTCCAAACCCCAAAGTCCTCTTCCTTCCTCGTCCCCCTCCAGTGCCCTGCTGGTTAAAATCTTACTTTTTTTGTTTTATTAAGTTTAAGCCAAACACCTCCCACCCCCCCCCAACAGAGTGACAAAAATAAGAGTTGGGTCTCCAGCAGCAACAGAAGCCGGTGGGGGGGTTGTTCACACCACCGAGCTGACCTCCACGGGCGCGTTCAGACGGTCCACCACGTCCCCCCGCTCGATGGCGGTCAGGGCCTGGCCCAGGGCCTCCAGCGTGGCCCCCTCCTGGGCCGACCAATCGGAGAGCAGCGTGTGGGCAGGGGCCTCCCCCCAGCCGATGGTCTCGATGGTTTCGTCCAGGTAGCCCAAGTGCTGGGCCAGAATGCGCCAGTCTTTGCCGCCGGGGGTGGGTGCTTCCAGCATCCGCTCTACCTCCTCCTGCAGGGGGTGGGCGAGGCTGCTGTAGAGAGGGGGGTCGGCTCTGGGTCCTGCTTGGGGAAGAGTGAGGACAAGGAAAGTGATTCAGATTGATGGAGCCTCTCCCTTCCTTCCTTCCTTCCTTCCTTCCCTCTCTCTTTCCTTCTGTCATTCTCATTTTCCTTCCTTGCTCTCTCTTTCCATTTCTTCCTCCTTCTCCTTTTCTGCTTTCCTTCCATTTCCTTCCTTTCCTTTTTCTCCCCTTCCTTTTCTATTTCCTTTTCTTCTTTACGTTCTTCCTTCCTTCTCTTTTTCACCATCTCTCCNTTTTGCAGCCCAACACCTGTTGATATCATGGGAACACTTTGTAAGAATAGTTTTGGAAAAAAACAAAAAAAAGGAAAAAAAAAGAGAGGAGGGGTTGTTTATTTTATTTTTCTTCCATTTTTGGGTTCCTCCCCCCCCTTTTTTTTTTTTTTTTCTTTTTTCCCCCCAGTTTTTTTTCCTTTGTTTTTTTTGTTTTTTTCCCCATTGTTCTCTGCAAAGGTTTCATCTGTTATCATGTAAATATTTGCAAAGAGGCCAAGCTCTATGTTTGGGGCAGGCCTTGCTGTCTGTTGATAAGATTGATTTTACTGCTTTGAAATCATTTTACTTTCTCCAATTTTTACGGAAGTTTTTATGTAAAACGAAAAAAAAAATTAAAAAATTAAAGAAAATGGTAATGAAGGAATGTGGAAAAAAATGGAATTTTTGTTCCCCACGTCTTGGGGAGTTCAGTAGCCCCTCAGGTAAGATGGGCGGCCCAAAGATTTTATAAATAAATAAAGTTGAAACGAAAGTAGGGAAAGAGAAGGCTCTGCAGGCAGTCCTCGACTTGTGAGCAGTTGCCCAGCAACCATTAAAAGTTATGACATTACCTGGAGGGTACCCATCCCCTGGATTCGAACTTACGATGGTCAAGAGAACAGACATTTGGCACTCAGCGACACAGCTCCTGTTTTACGACGGTTTTGCCAAATCTGGCATTTACTTCCATTTGTAGGCAAAACTACATTCGTAGGCCTTGTTTTAAAAAAGGAGTTAGCTTAACGTCCGACGCAAAAGTTGTAAAATGAAGTCAGTCACGTGTTTGATGGTGATTGTCACGACTTAACAACCGTGATGGGCAGCTCCGTTCCGTTGTAAGTCAAAGACTCTTTCTAGTTCCTCCCTCTAACGACCTTTGATCCTTCAATGTGGATGGAGTTGCATGTAATTGCAGGTAGTCCTCGACTTACAACAGCAGTGCAGCCCCAAATTGCTGCTGCTAAGTGAGACAATTGTTAAGCGAACTTTGCCCCATTTTATGGCCTTTCTTTTCACCATTGTTAAGTGAGTCCCCGCAGTTGTTCAGCTGGGAACAGGGTCGTTAAGCAAACGCAGCTCCCCAATGGATTTTGCTCGTCAGAATATCGCAAAAGGGGATCATGTGACCCTGGGACATCGCAACCGTCGTAAAAACGAGTCGGTTGCCAAGTGTCTGAATTTTGATCACGTGACCAGGAGGGGTCGTAAATGTGAAAAAAGTTCCTAGGCCCTGGTGTCATGTGATCTACTTTGGCAATCTTCCGACTGATAACTGTTAACAGTTGTAATGATTCACTTAGCAACCGTGACAGATAAGAAAGGTTGTAAAACGTGGCAAAATTCCCTTGTAACAACCATCTTCAATGGAAATGATGGGGCCCCTTGTGGCCATAAGTGGACCTGCAGACTGGGCTGGCCTGCATGCAATGCCCAGCACGGCCTGCAGGTGTCAGAGTTGCGTTGTCTTGAATGAGGCTTTTTCCTAGCAAAGCCTTAGGCAGAGAGCTGACTTCTGCAATCTGGCGCCCTCTGGATTGTCAATCCCATGGTTCCCAGCTGATTAACTGCCTTGTCCAGGAATGGCCTTGCACCCCACTCCCTCCGAGGGGATAACCTCAGGGACAGCGAGGGACTGGAGGTCACCATCAGCAGGCTGAAGGACAGAGAATCGCTTCACTGTCCCACTCCCCAGCTGATTCGGGACCCTCTTTGGCCAGGAACGATGATGTCAGCACTTCCTGTCCCTTTGAGGGCGGAAGCTCACAATGCGACCCCAGAGCGGCTTTGCTTTCATCTCTGCAGCCGGGAGACGTCTGGACTTCAGTTCCCAGGACTCCCCAGCCGGCCATGGTGGATGGGAAATTATTCTGAAGGTTTTACTGATCAAATGCCCAGGGGATCCCTTCGTCCCTAGGTGGGTGGGTGGGTGGGTGGGGGTGCCACATTGCTTCAGGAAACTGCTGAGTGCTCCACTCGCCCAAATAGCTTTCAACCTTCCCCTTACTCCTGTGTAGCACTCATGCCATTAATCAGCTGGGTCAACCAATTTCCTTGTATTTAAGTACAATGACAATAAAGATTATACTTATTAAAAGGAAGCTTCCCAGTGATGCAGTGTTTCCTCCTTTCTCCTCCTCTGCTCTCTCTCCTCTTCCTCATCTTTCTCAACTCCTTTCTTCCTCTTCCTCTTCCTCTTCTTCTCTTCCTCCTCCTTTTTCTCCTCCTCCTTCCTTCTTCCTCCCTTCTCCTTCTTCAATTTCTTCTCCTCGCAACCCCTCCCTTCTAGCCCCGATGATGTTCCCTAGTTAGGTCACGAACATATGGAAGGAAACCTCCTTGCTCAGAGAGCACCAAGGACCCCACAATCTTCCTCCTCCTCCTCCTCCTCTCCCCTATCTCCTTCCCAGCTGGCTTGCATCAACAACAGATGCTACTCCGGCTGTTCCCCTCTTTGAAGCTCAAGGCCACGTCCAGCACCCCAGGAAGGAGACGCCTGCACCACGCCAGGAGGTACCAGCCGGCCCTGATAGCCATTGCCACACAATCTGGATTTCCCCTTGAGGTTATCAGGGAACTGCCAGCTCAGCCCCCAAAAAACCCGATTGTGTTTTCACAGGGCAATTAAAAGCACTTCAGGAAGGACGTTGTTGGCATCCAAATATCCCTTTGTCCAGGGCTGCAGGATGCCTCCCTTGCAAACATCCCCTCAGGTGGCATCGTGCCCGTCCTTGGAGTAACTCTGGAGGCCCTTCTTCCCAGAAGAACTCCTGTTAGCACCCTGTTGCAAATCTTTTTTAAAAAAAAAAAAGCTAGTGGGGACTACTAAACAAGGAGCGGGCTGTTAAGAGAGCTGTACCTGATTTTATGACCTTTTTTTGCATGGCTGTTAAGTGTGTCACTGTGGTTATAAAGTGAATCTCTCTCTCTCTCTCACCCACCCACCTATCTGAAGCCACCTGGGATAGTTGCAAGAAGGGAGGAAAAGAGGTAAAGAAGGGATCGTACTGAGAGAGGGAGGGGAGAAGGAAGAGAAAGAAAAAGGAAGGGAGGGAGCGAAAAAGGGATTGGGATGAAGAAGCAGGGACGGAGAAAAGAGAGAGGGAGGAAGGGAAAGAAGGAAGGAAAGAAGGGATTGTGGGACAGGCAGGGAGGGGAGAAGGAAGACAAAGAAAAAAGGGGGGAGGGAAGAAGGTATTCTGGGATGAAGGAGCAGGGAGGGAGGGAAGCAACAGAAGGGAGGAGGGAAAGATAAATTAACATCTGGGCAACATCTGGAAAATAACAGGGAAGCCTCCCAGAGAGCTCAGTTTAGCAGTTTTAATTTTTTTAAACAGCCCAGTTGGCATCTGCCTCACCTCTCAGCTCTTCTGCCTCGCCAGAAATCAAACCGAAAAGCAGTTCGCGTCCGGTTGCAGCCACAAATTCCGGCAAGTTGTGCCTGTTATCTATCTCAGTGTTTCTCAACCTTGGCAACTTGAAGATGTCCGGACTTAAACTCCCAGAATTCCCCAGCCAGCATTCGCTG